TGCTCAAGAATATTAACACATGTCTAAAACACACAGGACATAATTTGAAAGGGTTCCCACTGGCCAATCTAGGACCTTGTGAACATCATAATAAATATAGAGAGTAAAGGATTATCACCTATTGGAAAAACGAGGAATCCAATAATCTACATTGATAAAAACAAACACATAAATGTTCTTCTTCACAGGGGAAAACCAAGAATAAACTTAGAAAGATAATGGAATTTCTTTTAATAAACATCCCTTGGCAGCCACAATAGTAATTTATTTAGAAAAGGATCGTTAATAGGTGCTAAAAGGGATGGGTGAAAGTCTAAGGATGAATAGGGTATCTGAAGCCGTTTATTTCTCCAAAGGATACATATTCATTACTCAGGGCATTGATCAGGGACACCACAGTCACGCCCTGAACAATGGGAGCACTGCTACTAATAGGCTAATTGACAGCACGGTTTCCTGTGATGACACTGGAGAGGGACTTTCTAGCTTCCCAAGGGAGTTCCGCTCCACACGCATGTCAGAATCCAACCAGGACTAAACACCGGACACCTGAGCTTGAGGACACCCTACCGAGTGACTGGTGAGGTACTATTCACAGGTCAACGTCATGAAAGACAAAGAGGCAGCAACTGTTTCAGACTGAGGGGGGAGGCTTGGCTTGTCCTGCTGTGGGGGGATTAGCAGGAGAGCTGCTGGAGGCCTGCAGGTTAGATAGGGAGTGCCCTGGTTCCAGACAACGTGCACCCAATGTTGCGGGGAAATAGGTGTCACATCCTAGATGATGAGGAAGAGAGAAGTAAGTGAGATATTCATGTTGGAGGACTCTGGGTCAACGAGTTCCTTATACTATTTTGCAACCTTTCTCCAAGTCTGAGGCTATATCCAAATAAATGTTTTGAATGAGGCAGCATGAAGCATCTCCCTGGCCAATTCTTTGATGCTTTTCCCATAGAGAGGTGAAGTCCAATCCGCTCCCCCTTGAACATGGTCTGGATGTGGTAACTCCCTTCTAAAGAGGGAGTGTGGCCGGGGAAGTCAGGTCACGAAAGGAGACCCAGGGTCCACCTGCTTCTCCTCAACCACACGTACTCTGGAGCCCTGGGATATTGTGCAGGAAGTCCAGCCACCACGAAGCCACCAGGCTGGGAGACCTCCTCAAGGTGGAGATGACTGGGGAGCCTCTGCCATTCCTGGGAGAAAATGGTCCCCCCCCCCCAAAAGCGGCCACATTTTGTCTCACCAATTGGCCTGAGAACTTTTTCAAAATGACAGTTTGTTCCTGTCATCACATACACCAGGACTAGAGTCAGGCAAATAAGATGGAAAGGTGGTATATGTGACTGCATGGCCAATATGATTCTGCAACCTGTATACTCAGAAAAATGAGAAATTATATCCCGTCTGATTCAAATGTATGATATGTCAAGGTCATTGTACTGTCATGTGTAACTAATTAAAACAAAAAATAAATAAATAAATAAAATAAAAATCTAAAAAAAAAAAAAAGAAGAAGAAGAAGGAAAAGTGGTGAGAAGGTGCAGGAATGACAGGCAGGCACACTCAAATTCAGTCTGGTATCTCTGGAGGGTGACCTTGGGGCATCCCTGGGGCCCTCCCTACCTCAACTGACTCAACCAAGCAGCAGGCAGGCTGCATGGCCTCGCCCAGCATTTGAGCATCTGGGGATCCTGTAGAGGCCCCTCCCTGCTGGACCCCGGGCTCCACTCTGCTGCAGCTCATGGCACTTCCTTCCTGGGGAACCCTTAGCCCTGTACATCCTCCTGGTCCCAGATCAGTGCTGACCTAGACTGAGACTTGCTGAGCAAATCACTGAGTTACTGCCTCATTACAGCACCCAGCACTGGGGGACATAGAGGCCACACATGTAGAGAGAGAGAGAATTAGCACTCAGTGGGCACTGCCCTGTGTAGACACGGTTCCAAGCTGAGAAGGCGATGCTGGGCAGGATAGATAGCTTAGCTAGGAGGCAGCTCTAACTGGACCAGGGGCCTCGAAGTCCCCAAGGCACAGAGCTCTCTACAAGAAGAGGATGGGATGACACCAACATAACCTCTGCATTACCTGCGCCTCTGGTATCCATGTGCCCATTGCTCAGATATAGAAGCTCAGAGAGGTGCCCAAATCCAGACAACCAATAAATGGCAGAGCTCAAATTCCAACTTAGGGTGGGGAGCTGCAAAGCCAAGGTAGGGTGAGCTTGGGTGGGCACTGAGACCTGGAGTCCCTCAGCCTGGGCTGAAGCCCCTGCACCGTGACACTCTGTGCCTTTGGGTCTAGATGACTTGCTGTTGTAGGGGCTGTCTGTGCACCATGGGATGCTTACAGCATCTCTAGACTCTGCCCATGAGAAGGCAGGAGTACCCTCACCCAATTGGGACAACCAAAATGTCTCCAGGTATAACCAGATGTCACCATGGGAGAGGGGGCAAATTCCCAATTGCCCCCAATTGAGAAACACTGGCCTAGATGTAAACACTGGCTGCACCACTTCTCTATGACCTTGAACAAGCAACATAACCTTTCTGTGCCTCAGAGTCCCTGTCCGTAAAATGGAAAGATAATAAGAACATGTGAGGTTAATGTGAAGATCAGATAAGAATCCAAGAAAGCACATGGCCCCTCCTTGTCAGGCTTGCTCCACGGCTATTCTGCCCACTACCCTCAGCTGCCTTCCCTTCAAGCCTGGATCCGGTACACCTGAAGGTCCGCTAGCACCTACGTAGGAATGAACCCATCAGCCAGTTAATGCAAGTGTGCAAACAGCCAGATGTTACAAAATGAGCACTAGAGCATCTGCTGATTAGGGAGGTCCTGGCAGCGTCTCTCACCATCAAAGGGCAGTTAGGATTTAAGAACCTAGGGCCCGGCTCCCTGGGCTCAGTCTAGCTCTGCCACTCATGAGCAGGGTGACCACAGGCCCATGATTAAGCATCCTCATCTGTAAAATGGGTAACAAAACTGCTGCATGGGGTCATGAGGGTCAAATAAATCAATGCATGTGTGGGGCCTGTGCAGAGTGAGTGTCCCTATTGCTGTCATTTGTGTTAACCCAGCACACTCCCCTCTTCACCGCCACTCTGATCACCCTCCTCTTCTCGGGCTGTGCAAAACACAAGCCAGTTCCAGCCTTGGCACCGCCTTCCTCTCCTGCCTTGCTCTGCCTCCCAGACACCGCCACTGCCCAACCCCGACTTTACCCCAACTTCCTTTACCATTCCCTCCGAGAGGCCTCCCTGGCCACCCTTCACACAAAAGCATCTGACCACCCTGCTGGCTCCATCTCCTGGTGCCTGATGCTGCGCATGGTGGTCAGTAGAGCGCAGTACAACACGCCCAGGATCCAGCAGCTTGGATTCATTGGTGTGGCTCCCCACAAGTTCCCAGATGCAGAGAGATTGATGAGAGGCCTGTCCAGCATTCAAGGCAGTGCACGCATCCAGGAGATGTAAATAATTACAGGACGTGAGGATGATATTTACAGAGGGAATTCCAACGTCCTCACGTGGTGCATTTTCCCCAACACAGAACTTACTTAAACAGGGGCCTAGAATGGCATTTGCCCTGAAAGATTCTGTTCATGACAATCTTTCCTTTAGAATAGAATGGCTGCATGTTAGACAATTCCAGATAGGTGTTTTTAAACTGTGTTCCCTGGAACTGCAGACTCCAGAGAAAGAGTGACAGAATTCTACCAAATGAGGATTCACAAAGTCAAAGATGCTGGGAAACAAGGCAGAATCCTCCCCCACTTGGGGACTCGTAATGCTTAGGAAATGCTCTAAGGCCCCCTGTAAACAGGCACTGAATATGAGTTTACTGGGTTTATTTCACTACAGACCCTGCCCATGAACATTAGCATCATAGAGCATGGTGATCTCATAGAGGCCTCCCTGGTACACAGAAAGTGAGGCCCAGAGAGCTTAGCAGACTCACTCAAGGTCACACAGTCATTTCCTAATCCTAAAGCAGCGTTCTATTCACTGGCCCTGATGTTTTGCTTAGCTATTTGTTCATAAAATGTCAAAAAAACAAACAGATTTCAGATTCCAGTATCAGTTTTATGAAATCAAATATGAAATGAATGTGCCAAATGGGATTTTGCTTTCCATCGCACTGTTCCAGAAATAGTTATTCATTCAACAAATATTTATTAAGCATTATGCGCCAGGCACTGCACATTCTGCAGTGAACAAGACACGGTGACACAGAAGACCAACAACAAAATTATCCTTGAGGGGACCAGAACAGATCAAACTGCCCTTGACAAGGCTGCTTCAAAGCCAGGACTTGTGAGAAGCTACCCATTCCCATTCCATTTGCTCCCATCAGCAGTTTTTACATTTAGTCTAATGGCAATAACACGCCCTCCACTGCAGCGGGGCTGGAGTAAGAAGCCTTGGCTCTGCACATTGCAGGGGGAAGTGCAGAGATTGGTGTGAGTTGAGCTCTTTTACTGAGCAATTCAACCTGCAGATTTTCCAATTTCAAATTCATTGCAATGTCATCTCAGTTAAAATGCATCCTCTTATTTACTATCGTCTGCAAGTAAACGTGTCTGTTTAACAGTGGGATTTCTTTTTCAAAGTGTATTGACTCACACCACTCAAAGCCCTTCAGAAAACAGTGTACCAAAAGCCGCGTCTTTTTAAAACACACCCTAGATTAGAGATGGAGGAAAATAGTGCTGTTATCCCGGATGACCCCTTCAGTGAACTGACAGCCACCATCTAGGAATCAGGAGAATTGTCTTATGTTCTTTTAAATAGAAAATGCCAAGTGAGAAAAAAAAATCAGAGCCCCAGGCTTAAGAAGTCCACATATCTAATGCCGTAGCTATGAAACCAGCCTTCAATACATACTTGGAACGTGTTCATCTAACAAAAAGAAATCGGAAGCTCTTCAAGGTCCCTTGTCCTGTGTGTTCATTTAAGGTCAAAATAAATACACGCTTCTACACCCAGCAAACATTTTTGGTGCTTTTTAAGGGTGTACTCAAATCCCAATTCTGGGGGGGGCATGCCATGGCATCTCCAGGGGCAGTCCTGAAAACCAGCCTTGCCAAGCAGCAGGATTCACCCCACCGTACACATGCCTTGTGTTTATCAGACACCAGAAGCACTGAGGCCTCAGTAAAGACCCTGCAGGAGCATAGGATCAGAGAAGCAAGACGCAGACACCCCACTGCACCCCAGCATCACCACTCACACCCTGAACATGTGTTTAAAACTCAGCCAACCAAATAATCACTGAACAAGTTCTTTGTTTGAAAGGGGAAGGGAGAGTGTATCGTTAAAGGACCAGCTCCCCATTTTCTTCTAGGACCTCTGGTCCATCTGTGCTAGGCTGGATCTATTTGACCCAGATTATTCCCACTGCTTCTGCCAACACTTTCAGATAAGAATCAATAGGGCAGAGCTTCTAAGCATGTGCACACAGAGACAGAACAGTGAAGAACCCAGCAGCGCTGAGAATGTGTACATGATGAGCAAGAGTGTATGCTCACAGAGGTCTGTGGGGCACTTCTTATGCAGTTTCAGGCAATCCATTTGGGGTGAAAGGTGTTATTTTGCCTAATGAAATCTCCCCCTCGCAGTCCAGATCACAGACAGATTCGGCAGCAGGATCACCAGCTGGGGGCGTCTGAAAGGTCCCAGATAAGTGATCTAAAGGGCCCTCCTCCTCCTTCTCCTCGTTGTCCACCTGCCTGTCTCCGGGCGCCACCGCATTGGGAATCATATGGATATAGGGCCCTACAGTCTCCTTGTGGAAGACCGTGTCTTGGTTGTAGGAGATGAGCTCATTGCTGATGTTCACCGTCTCCACACGCGTGCGGGAGCAGAGGTGACTGCACCCCAGCAGCTGTGCAAACACCTTCCGGAAGTCAGCGTTGAAGGCATAGATAATAGGGTTGAGTGAGGAGTTGGCCCAGCCGAACCAGACAAAGACATCGAAGGTGGTCTCGCTGACACAGGGGAAGCCGGCCTGCTGGTCCCCGTTGCAAAAGGGAACCATGCAGTTGAGGATGAAGAAGGGCAGCCAGCAGCACACGAACACCCCCATGATCACAGACAGGGTCTTGAGGACCTTGGTCTCCTTCTTGATGGAAGCCCGCAGGTTGGTGTCGGGTTCTCCTGGGGCTCTGCTCCTGCAGCTCTGCGCATGCTCCGCGGCCCTCTCCAAGGAGGAGATCCTGCGGATCTGCACCTGCGCGATACGGTAGATGCGCGTGTAGGTCACAATCATGATGGCCACAGGGATGTAGAAGCTGATGAGTGAGGAGGAGATGGCGTAGGTTCGGTTCAGGCTGGAGTCACAGTTCTCTGCCCTCGCATTGGGCTCCCCGGCTTCCTCCCAGGGCGTCCCATTGGCCAGGTTGGATGGAAGGTCCTCCTGGCCCTGGGAGCCCGACTTGTCTCTGTGCCAGTTGAACTGGACTGGAATGAAGGAGATGAGGATGGACAAGGTCCAAGCCAGACCCACTATGACTAAAGCCACGGTCTGGGTCATCTTGCGCTCATAGCGGAAGGGCCTAGAGATGGCCCAGTAGCGGTCCACACTGATGATGCACAAGTTCAGGATGGAGGCCGTAGAGCACATGATGTCAAAGGCCACCCAGACGTCGCAGAATGCCCCAAAAGGCCAGTAACCAGCCACCTCGGCGACTGCCTTCCAGGGCATGACCAGCAGTGCCACGAAGAGGTCGGACACTGCCAGAGACACGATGAAAACGTTGGTCATCTTCGCACGCAGGTGGCGACTGCGCACGATGGCGGCGCAGACCAGCACGTTGCCAAACAGGGTCCAGACAATGAGGAGTGTCAGGAGGCCGGCGGTGACCACCTGCAATGGTCCCAGGGGCGCGGCCCCAGCTGAGCCGCCCAAGGCACCCCCCTGAACCAGTTGCTGCTGCAGCCTGAACCGAGCCCAGTACGCGGTGCCATTGCGCCCAGGAGGCAGCATGTCTGGCTTGGGGACAGCGGCAAGCTAAGCGTGGTTACAACTTCAGCCCTGTGTCCCCCAGGAGGCCCCATCGGGCACCCCAAGGGGTGCCCCAGGACCCGCAGCCCAGAGACCCCTGAGCCCCGAGGAGCGCTCACCGTGCACTGCGCCGGGACCCGGAGCGGTGGACGCCTTGAGCCCTCCAGTCCCGGAGCTGGGGCAGCAAGCGTCTGGTGCCCGCGGGCGGCAAGGGCTGTTTCCAAGAGCCTACAGCGCGCCGGGTGGCGGTGGCAACAGCGGCCGTGTCTGGTTCGGAGCCGGGGAAGGGATGAGCGAGCCGCCACCGAGGGGCGGGGGCCGGGAGCCGCGGGCGCAGGGAGAGCGCAGGAGCTCTGCCGCCCGCCGTCCCGCGGAGCTCCGGGTCCCGCGCTCCCGCCCTTCGCCGCGCGCTCCTTTCCCCGCTCCCGCCCCACCTGGGCCCTAGCTTTCTAATTCTCTTCGCTCCGTCTGCCGGAGCCCAGGGGCAGCCCACACTCTGAGAGGTGCGCCAGTGCCAGACCCTCGCCGGAGCCAGGGAAGGTGCCTGGCCTGGCCCAGCCTGCGGTCCCAGCCCTGGCCAAGTTTGGGAAGCTGGGTGGGGGGATGGGGAAGCTTTGTAGGGTGAAGAAGGCCGCGTTGGATTTCTCACTGACCTGAGCCCCAAATCCAGACTTATTCCTGGCTGCACCACCTTGAGCGCCCCATCTAACTTCACCTGGCCTTGGTTTCTTCATCAGCAAACGTGAGAGAATTATTCCTACATCTCTGCACGTGTCAGGACTCAGGGACACCATCCAGAAAAAGGCACCAGTTCCTACAGCATCTCCTGGACCACCCTGCTCCTCCGAAATTGCTTCCCTGACCCCTTGAAGGGAGGCCCTTTCCCCACCACTTCCAACCTGTGAGTGATTTTTCCTTTAAAAAATAATTTTAACTGAACTCAGAAGAAAAGGGAGGGGAGGACCCTCCCCAAAGGCTGGAGCTGCCTCCTGAGGGCACTTTCACATTCTCTTCTTGTTTTAATCTTGGGAGGGATAGATTAAAAAAAAAAATCTCAGCGTTTTTTCAGGAAAGGAAACTGAGTCCTGGAAAGGTGTTTCAAAGTCTAAGCAGTTGGGGAAAGCAGGTGGAGGAAGAGTGAAGAGAGACAGCAGACTTCGGAGCCCTCAGAGCACCTCCCAGAGGACAAGTCCCACTGGGAACCACTCCAGTCTGGCTGCTGGTGTGAGCTCAGCTGAGCTGCAGGGAGGGAGGTGGATGGGAGCAGCCTGCTCCTGGGACACACACCTGCAGCATGTGAGGTCTGCAAGCAGGACAGGAGCTTCTCATCCCCTCCCTCCCACCACACCTGCCGCTGCCCCCTCTGCCACTGGACCAGCACCTGCAGGTGCCCCAGATTCTCAGCCTTGAACACCGCAGCCCCCCTCCCTCTCAGTGCTTCCTGCAGCTGGACACGGCAAGACAGCTGTCAGGGTGACTGAACTGAAACTGGAGAGCCATGCTTCCTCCGGTCTCTCCTCTCTAGCATTGCCGCCTGTGCAGGACTGGGACTTCTGTGCCCTGTATTACAATGACACCATCTTAGCCTCCAGCCCTGATTCTCTGACCACCCACCACTGAACCACAGGTAGGGTGCTGTTTCTAAAACCTGGCTGTGACCGTGTCCCTGAGAGTCCCAGCCCCGGCCAGGCATGCAAGATCTTTCCAACATCCTGCCCATGCCTTTCCCACCACCCTTGCTTCTCTCCTGCCACTGCTCCACATGCAGCCTGCAGTGGAGACAGCACCAGCAGTAGAAGCAAAATTGATCACTCACTTGCACTTCCCCAAATGGGCTGGGTGGTTATTCCAGAACCTGAAATGACCTGCTTCCCCTCTGTCTTCCTGAACAACACTAACTTGTGGTGCAGGAGATGAACTGGGACTTTTGAGACAGGGGTTTGAAGTTTGGCTATTCATTCTTGCATTCAGCACATATTTATTGAGCACTTACTATATTTCAGATGCCATTTACACACTGGGTATATACAGAGAGAGGTATAGATATGACTTTCCTTTCCTCTAGAAGTTTGCAATCTGATGCTAAAGATAGATGTTAACCTAAGGATCATCCAAGGAAACATACAATTTCAACTGTGATGCCTGCTATGGAGCAAGTTTAAAGTGTTAAATAAGGGCACACTAGGAGGGGGCCAGCCAAGACAAGATGTTTGGTGAAAACCTCCCTGGAGTAGTTTCTCTTTGCATTTGCATCACAGGTGAAGTAGGCAAAGAAGAAGACAGAGAAGGAAAGATATGGCAGGCAGGAAGAACAGGTACTTCCCAGCTTTGGGGTCCTGGGAACATGATGTGGTCTCTCCTGGCCTCAGTTTTCTCATCTGGAAATGGGGAATGGTGGTAGTTGAAGTGGTGAATGTGATGAGACTAACAGACCCTATCACAGGTGTTCTGAGCTTCCCTCCTTCCCTGCTCGACACCTGTGCCACACCTTGCCCCTGGCTGCTCTCCAGGGAGGATTCTCCCCTGGCTTTTGTGTGGACAAGTCCCAGAGTTGATGCTTTATTGGAGGCTAGAGGAGGAAAGAAGGGTCCCAGAAGGAAAAGACCCTGTGTATCTTCACAGTAGAGACAGTGAGGTGAGGAAAGGGTCAAAAAGTGGGACAGTGTTTTTCCAGGGAAGACTGTGAAAGAGGTGAGGCTATGGGAGCATGGGAGAGGTAGATAGGAGAGCAGGAGGGACCAGGAGCAGGAAGCCCCACTGCACCCACAGAAGCAAGCAAAGAGCTTGGGTTTGGAAATTACCTCTCAGTGCTGGACACGACACTGCTTGGAGACTGCCACAGGGATCGGGCTCTGCGTCCTCTGGGATTTATGGCAATCACCTCTTCTGGACCAAGCAGGAGTGCTGAGCAGGGGGCAGGGGCTGGCTCACATGGCAGCTTCGGTGACACTGTATCTGCATCTCACCACTCACTGCAGGGCTGCTGGCCCTCCAGGCACTTGCTCCTTGAATCAAGAAACTGTCTCCATGTCTTGGTTCTTTGCTCCAATACAAAGATTGGGTGCCTGACAAATCTTCACTGGTAGATGAGCGGAGGAGGGGAATCTGCCCAGTGCTGTGAAATCAATGGACAGAGGATTTAATCAGCCAAGAAAGGTACACACATGCTCCATACACAGTTCTACATTTGCCTTCAGATGCTTCTGACCCCGGAAATCCATCCCCTCGTTCATGCAACAAGCCCCATTGATAGGGGGAGGGTACAGGATGACAAGTCGTGGCCAGGGTAGGTTTGCATAATGGTTACAGGAAAGTTCCAGCAGGAGATGATAAAGTACACCGAGCAAGGGCTTTCTCTTCCAATTAGCACAACATTACTGTTGGAGCTAGGAACTGAGCTGTGACTCACAACCCCTGTCTAGACCTTGGAGATACAGGAGAATCCTGTAATGGAGGGAATGGTGCAAGCAGAGGCTCAGAGGCATGAAGCTGCCTGGGTGGTAATACAAATTTCCAGAGCTGTGATCCAAAAGACCATGCTTCTCATCACTCTTGGAGACAGCATTTTCCCTCTGCTGCTGAGACTGTGCTAAAGTGAGCTCCAGAGTCATGGGGCCATGGTTTCCCATCAGGACTGGCTGCACCGTCTCACCGGGGCTCTTTCCCACGTTGTCTAAAGAGCCTGGCAGAGGTAAAGCAGCTGGAAGCCGGGGCATCTCTCCAGCCAGCCTCAGGAGCCAGCCTCCTGGGCAGAATTCTAACCACCTAGAGGGTTAATAAGCCCCTCTTTATTTATCCCAGGCAGAGCCCGGATCTCAGGGGACACGGGTGGGAAATGGTCCTTCCACACATTGGTTTCTGCAAAATTGGACTAAGAGGATTTTTGTAGAACATTTTAGCACAAAGGCGGTTTTCCTACACTGGTCAGCAAATAGTCTTCTGTCTGAACTCATTGATCTCCCTTTGTCTGAAGACATATTTTAAGTGGGATTTGCTTCCCTGAGACAAATGATAAAATCAGTAGGAAAATGCCAGGATTTCGCTGCTGCTGCTGCTGAGATCAAAAGACTCAACTCTGCTTTACAGCAGGAAAAGCTCCACTCCTTGGCTACAAGATGCCTCTGAGCCCCCAGACCCAGTCCTACCCATGCACCAGCTTCAAAGGATGGAAGCTGGGCAGAAATCTGCATTGCCTTGAGCCCAGACCCACTGTGGTGGTTCTAACACCCCCTCTTCAAATAACAAGGTCAGCCCCTGATCCTTCCTCTCCCCAACTCAGGAGCAACAAGGCTTCTGACAGTCAATATGTCTCTTCCAGAAGTTGGTTTATTCATGAGGTAGCACTGTGTAGACAGACAGGAGGGTAGGGTTCCAAGACAGTCCTGGATTCAAATCCTTCTCTGACATTTTAGCTGCTGAAACTTGACAGAGTTACTGAACTCTTAGAGCTTCAGTTGCCTGATCTGTAAAGCAGTACTGATACTGTTATTACACCATGCAGAGATAGAATGGAGAAATGAGAAGCTGCTCTTAAGAAATCCAAGTGTGGCCAGGCACAGTAGTGCACACCTGTAATCCCAGCAGCTCGGGAGCTGAGGCAGGAAGATCACAAGTTCAAAGTGATCAGCAACTTAGCAAGGCCCTAAACAACTCAGCAAGATTCTGTCTCTAAAATATAAAAAGGACTAGGGATGTGGCATAGTAGTTGAGTGCCCCTGAATTCAATCCCTGGTAACAAAAAAAAAAAAGAAAAAAGAAAGAAAGAAAAGAAAAAGAAAGGGAAAGAAAGAGGGGGGGGGAGGGAGGGGGGAGGGAAAAGAAAAGAAATCCAAGTGGGTGTATTTGTTAGGTTTTGCTACCATGATGCTACCTAACAAACAGCCCCAGGATTTCAGCAGCCTAAAACAGCAAACAGCTATTTCTTGCTGACTACCACAGTGAGCTGGGAAGCTTTGCCTCAGCTGCAGATCAGGTTCTGTTGGCTCCAAGTCTCTCTCATTCCCAGGCCAGCGCCCCCTGGAGTTGCTCTTCTCCTGGCACAGAAGGGAGCCAATAGGACCACCCAACCGCAATTCACTCAGAGCCTCTGGTCAGGCAGGGAGTGCGGGAACTCTGTTCCAGCCCTCAGACTTGTGGGTCACGTGAGTAAACAAGAGCTCTCCTCTGTCCACAGGGAAGCCAGGCAATGGAGCAGGGGAGCCGGGAAGAACTGTGAGCTGATGATAGGGCCACGTAGTCCCCA